TAAAGCAGTGTGGCTTTATATTTATGATACAGCTGCAGTTTTACATAAAAAGCCTGTATGTCATGGTCGCATTCGACTAATCCCTTCTTTCTCAGGTGTCATCATTGATTTAATGCATCTGATGAAACCGGGGGGCTTCGATGTCGCGCTATTCTTTCGGGACATTGTAAGTCAACCTGAGGATGAGAGCGAGTTGGGTTTGCAGCTGGAGCCTTGTGACAAACTGGAAGACCTCCAGAAGAGAGTGCGGGCCAAGGAGCAGAAGAAGAGAGCCATGGCCAGGTAGAGATCAGTGACACGTTGGCGTTTCCAGGCGGATAAAAGTTGTTCTTGCTGCTTTGCTCTTTGTTTTGCTTTCTTCTTCCTTTGTTGTTCAACTCCTCCTCTCTCCTCCCTTCTTCTCCACACCAACCTTCTCTCTCTAGGTTAAACCTGTGTCTTGGCGAGGGCATTAATGTAGCTGTGGGGATTTATGCAACTGCTGTGACATCTCGGAAACCAGCCCCCGTCAGACTTTACAGGGAAACCAACGAGCCGGTCCGCAGCAAAACCCGAACCTTCCACACCCAGACTGGCAGCCTGCTTCTGCCCAGTGAGATAAAGAAAGCCCAGGTAAGAGCGGACTAAATATATGCTATTTTTTAGTTTGGTTATGTGAAATATTTAAATTGTCATATATGCTGTACTCTGTAAGTTAGGTAAGTCTAATTGGTAATACATCCTAAATTGTGGATCATTACTCACCAGAATGAGCTGGTAAGAGCCAAGCTGAGAAATGTATCAGCCGCAGTAAAATTGACCTAAATTACGTCGACGATCAACATTAGGTTCAGTGATTATTCAGTGATTTTGTTGGTGTTCTTTTTTTTCTCCTCATTTGTTCTCGTGTGTCTACTGTAGACGTACGGTAAGAAGCAGATAGTGATGGAGAGGGACGAGGTGGATGCCATCAAGAAGTTTCAGGATCCCGGACTCTATCTGATCGGATTCAAACCAATGGAAAGGCTCAAAACTCACCACCACATCCGACCTGCTGTGTTCCTCTATCCTGAGGAGGGAGAGGTGAAAGGTACCGTTTGTCTGTCTGCATCCGTTTGGCTTCCAACCCAATAGGAAGAAGTATCAAAACCACACTGTTAACTATAAATATCTCCAATTAGTGTGAGGTGAGGATATGTGATCATTTCGGCTGAAACAGTTACAGTAATAACAATTACAGTAATAACAATCAATGAAGCAATTAGTCGATCAACAGAAAAACAATATTTTCATAATAGATTTATTGTTTAGGCAAAAATACCATTCCCTGGTTCCAGCTTCTCAGTTTTGAGAATTTGCTGTTTTTCTTTGTCTTATGTGATTATTGACTGAATATCTTTGGCTTGTGGGCTGTTGGTTGACAAAACAAACAATATAAGAAAGTCACCTTGAACTTTAGGAAATTGTGATCCACTATTTTCTATCATTTAACCAAAATGATTTTTAGTTGTAACCCTACTGATTTAAAGACCATTGTTGGTCAAGTACCTCAAGTGTTTTTTATGATGATTTGTTTAAACATGGATGCTAATGTGTTTCGTTTTGAATATAAAATGTTCACTTCTACTGTCGAGTCTTTAATAATGTTCAGTTTGTTGGACATCTTCTCTTCTTTCTCTGCTCTAATATATCCTGTGTTTTCCACCTCAGGCAGCGCGTGTCTGTTCTCTGCCTTATTGACGAAGTGCAGCGAGAGGAACGTGTTCGCTCTGTGCCGCTGCGTCTCTCGACGAAACTACCCGCCTCGATTTGCTGCTCTGGTGCCTCAGAGAGAGGAGGTCGACGAGGGAAAAGTACAGATTACACCACCAGGTAATACACCGCTGGGCTCAGCAGTAGCTTACTGGGTTTAATTAAAGAGTCCCACACTTAACAGGCAAACAAACTGCAGCTCCTTTTGCAATTCCCACTACTGTATTTGTTTAGTTTGTATGAGGCTTGATGTCATCTTGTCCTCTGTCTTGCCTGTTTCAGGTTTCAACGTCATCTACCTGCCATACGCTGACGACCTGCGGACTCTGGATCCCCCTCAGTGCCCATCGGCCTCACAAATACAGGTGGACAAAATGAAGGAGATCGTCTCCAAGCTGCGCTTCAAATACAGGTAGCTGCACATGTTCACTGCTTTACAGAGATCTTAGTTTTGAGATGCCTAATAAATGGTTTGAATTACACTGCATCAAATTCTGTCATGCTAAAAGTAAAACTGTGTCTGTCTTTGATGTTTTTTTTGGGTACAACAAATGTAACACACAAATTCCCTATTTAATAGCTTTGTGGTGCAATGGACACGCACGTGTGCTCTCTGCTTATAACAAAGTCATTCAGTTTCTTTCTGTGACATGTTTTCATTCTTTGTAATGTAATGCAGGAGTGAGGCTTTTGAGAATCCAGTCATCCAGCAGCATTACAGGAACCTGGAGGCCTTGGCTCTGGATATGATGGCTCCAGAGGACACAGAGGACCTCATCAGTAAGATGCAGACAAACAAACAAACATTAAGACATCCTGGTTCCTCTTGTTGCTTGTACAACCTCTTCTTCGTCTCACACTTCCTGTACCTGAGACCTCTTTCTCTGTGTCTCAGTGCCAAAGGTGGATCAGATTAACCACCGTCTGGGTCCCCTGGCTGAGGAGTTTAAAGATCTGGTCTACCCTGCTGGCTACAACCCTGAAAACAAACCAGTTGCCAAACGCAAAACAGGTCAGAGGTGGAGTCATCACAGAAACTAAGCAAAATAGCTTTTAACTGTATTTAGTTAGTTGCTTTGGGTTTTTGAATGTCTAAATCTAAAGGTTTTCTCCATGAATGAACTTGCAGCTGATGTCGGAGGCGGAGCTGAGAAGAAGCCCAAAGCGGAGGTGACGGAAGACGAGCTAAGGGCCCATGTGCAGAACGGCACCCTGGGAAAGCTGACCGTGCCCGTGTTGAAGGAGGCCTGCAAACAATTCGGGGTTCGAACCACTGGGACCAAGAAACAGGAGCTGATAGATGCTCTGACCGCCCAACTGGCCCCATGAGGAGTTAGATGTGCACCTCACTGTGCCTTCGTGAGCTTTTTCAGATCAGTGTCTTAGTTAGACTTGATTCCAGGACATGTCTTCAGCCATTTTGCAAACCAATTTCTGGTAAATTTGGTTTTAAAAGCAGGTGACAAGTTTTAAATTTACTGCGTGGCCCGTGCATTTTGGGACAGACGGACACTGTTTAGTTTTGTCTTGTAGTTGATGAGTTGAAAACTGTTGATTTACCCTTTTTTTTTTTTTTACAAGGCAGCACGGTTCAGTGCAGCTTAGTGCTTATGTCTGCGGTGTGTCTGTCCCACATTACATGAATAATGTATTAATTTTAAAAAAGACTACCAGGTCATTTTCTCATGATTTAAAACTGGTTGATTTGAGTTATAATGTCATAAAAAAGTCTGCATTGGAATATACTGTACAGTCATAAAATTACTGTAACTACTTGGGACTGTTGTTGATAATCTTGTATTTGCATTAATAAAGCCTTTTACAGCCCTGCATCTCTGTTTTATTTCAATAACTGCATGTGAGTCAGTAGACTCTACATCTTAAGCAGCATTTCCGGTTCTTCTTGTAGCAAGAAAGAAGGTGTGTCCTTCCAAAGTAAGACCGCAGCATTATCAGCATACCTGGACCTTTTCACTGCATTGTTTTGCCACACGGCACAATAAACTAAGGGCAGTGTTCCTGCTGGGGGCAGGCCTGCACAGGAAAAATGTTTCTGCTCAACAGCAGGAGGAAGGAATCACATACAACTTTGACCTCATCAGAGTTGCGTCAGGTTCTGATAGACTGAAAGTAGATGGCATTCCTCAGAGAGGATTATCTGACTACACACCAGGTAATGGAGCTTTAGGAACATTTTGACATTTCTTTGGGTTAAAAGACTTTTTAACTACATTCGATTGTATGTTTTTAGTTTTCCAGTGTAGGCTTTATGTTTTGGTGTACATTGTCATGAAACCTTGTTACATGTCAACATACAGCTCATTATGGAGCTTGCTAGATCTGAATTGACTCTGACATGTGAAAATGATATCCAGGCAGACTTAATCCTCATATTAGTCCTAGTTTTATTTCCAGTTGCTTGTATAATCACATGAACGTTGCAAAACATTTGTCAACACTGGTGTTATGTTGAACTTTTAGGGCTTTTATATTGAAAATTCTGAGCAGAAGTGCTGCTATTTATTTTCACTACCTTGACGCTCGCTGGAGGTCTGTGAACTGCAGAGAAATGGAGTGTCAATGTGAAAAGGACAACTCTGAGGATGCTCTTACAGGTGAGAAGAAATGTTTAACAACTCAACCCAACTTTAAAGATGTCTGTGCTACATCATAAAAGATGAAGAGTGTATTGTTTGTGTGCCCATTACATGAAAATACAGTTTAAGTATGGACATGTTCATTACTCACTCAATAGACTTCTTTTGATACCATGTGGCATTTTGTCTTCATGGTTGCAAAGTACATAGTCTGTTACTTCAATTTAGTGGCAAAATCGTTGTGACTTCCGGGATGGTTTTTCAAAATAAAATATCAAGCACGTGTTACTTTTCAGTTTGTCAATTTCAAAAAATTGCACAAAAACTGTTTTAGCTGTTTCATTAAATAATCAATTTGAACCCATTTTCTTTACAGCAACTACAATATTACATAACTGTGCTAAAGTTTCCCACCATTAAAACAATCCTGGAATAAAAGAGATTGTGATGTCAGCTTTTACATATAAAGATTAAAATCAAATCTTTGAATGTAAACCTTGATATGCCTACAGGGACACACACACACACACAGTGACATGTATTGAACAATAGGGGATTTGGAGTATTTCACATATAGGTGAAAGGTAAACCCCATGATAAGTTGTGGACAACACTTCAATACTAATGTCTTGCTTTCCTCCCTCCACTCTCTGTTTAGGCTGGTGGATGAACGGCAACAGTGTCCAGATGGGAGCTTTTACTGTGGTGGGGTATCTTCTCTACAGATTCTCACAGAGTCAGTAACTCACCAAACATATGTTCATATTCATTTGGCCAATTCCAAAAACACACATGCCATATTGTTTTATTGTTGTGAGTTGGAAACTAGAAAATCTGAAACAGATTAAACTTGTTTGAATTCATCAGAAATGGCTTTGATGAGAACAGACCTCCCTGATGGTATTATCAGGAGTGTAGCCAGGAATCATGGGTCCTACTTACAGAGGGTGACCCTAACCTCCCTCCATTTTCAGTGACAAATATCAATATACCTCTGCAGATTATTTTTTTATCAGAAACACACATAGCTAAAGAATAAAGCAGGCGATACTGTATATTTTTCTAAAGGTCTAATTTTTCCTCCATTGTTCAAAATATGAAAAATACTTAAAAGAACACCATGGTAGTTGTGACCTGCTTAAAATCTTTACGTCTTCAGTACGGACAAACTGGCTTAGGGCTGAGTGCCACAGACTCCAAGTAAAAAAGTAATATGAATTAATTATAGATACACACTGGTATTTAATTCAGTGGTCGGTATCCTCTTATCCTAAAAGCAGTCCTGCAGAATTTTTAGGTTGAAGGAACAAGTTAGCAGGCAAAGGTTTCATCAGGTTTAAAAATGTGTAGTGTATGAGGGCATATGTTTTCACATTTATAGTATCCAACCCACTGAATTTAGGGTTTAACTAAACTATATTGTGTCAATGTTGGCCCATAAATAATTCAAATAACTTTAAGCAATACTTGAATGGTCTTTCTCGACCACTGCTGTAATCTGTAGTCTGTTTTTCCTGCAGCACTCCCAGCTCTGATCCGATGGCCGATTCGTCTTTTCTGTTCTCTAACTGGTAAGTTTAGTTCCAGTGGTATATCAGGGGTCAGAGGTCAGAGGTCAAAGTCTGATTTTTAACTGACAGCACACAAAACTACTGTTGCCATCAGTATGCTTGATTAAATACCAATAATGATCACATGTCACTGTGTGTTTCTGCTTCAGGTCTGTCAGCTCTTTGGAGCTGGGTGAGCCGCCTCGTGGGAACCCTTCGTGGTACAAAATATACATCCCTTATTTCTTACCCATAAAATGTATAAAAAAATATATTAAAAAAAAAGTCAAATAAGCTAACTTCTCAATTTATTGTTTCTTGTTTCTCAGGAATCCAGAGCCTGTTTAAATGGCTGTCTCAAATTTGGCGGTTTTTCGTAGGTGAGCGCTGCCTGAATTTGTGCTGGATGTTGTTTACTGTGTGCTTCAAATTGACTTTTCAAGTGAAGGTAAACAGGTCTGGAAAGGTTTACAATTTTAGTTGGTATGTTGGAGTAGTCAGAGGAAGTGACTCAGAAATTCAGCAGACACATGACGGCAATTTAGTATTTCAAGGGAGTGGCGCTATTTTAGTGATAGATCTACATAATAATTATAGGTCTGTAATTAACAGTTAAACCAGCTGACTTACAATCTGCTCCTCCATCAGGATTTTCCTCCAAGTTCAAGTGGTTGGCTGCTGTCATCAAAGCAAGCTCAGGTCGGCTCACCTTAATCTTCCTTCTTGTTTTTTTTGTCCACTGAGGCCCAGTTCAGTTTGGGCTGAGAATCACATTTTTTCTGTAATATGCTTCATTATTTAACTAGTAAAAACTCTGCTCCACAGACGAAGAACTGGATTTAAGCAGCCCCAACAAACCAGGCCTGAGGCTGATCCTCCTGGAGTATAACAGTGGAGGATGGACCTCCCTGGAAGAGACTTTGTTGGGCAACAGTGATACAAGGGCACCCACGAGTCCCATAATTGAGAGCACCAAGACTAGGACCGTATTAGATGGTAGAGAGGTTACAGTGATCAACACCCCAGATCTTTTGGGGCCGTCATCGGGGAACAACAAGAGAGCCAGGGAAGCTTTGAGGAGCCTTCAGCTCACCAGTCCTGGACCACACGCCTTCCTGCTGGTGATCCGAGCTCCGGGCTCCAGCATGGGGATCGACCAGGATGCAGCTCAAGCAATCCGAGCCACCCTTGACCTGTTTGGTGACGGGGCCGCAGGGTACATCATCCCAGTGCTCGCCCAAGCACACCGTCCGGGTCGAAGGCATACTGTAGATCAGCTGCTGGATGCAGACGATGGGGGTCTGAGAAGGGCTCTGTCTCTATGCGACCAGAGTCCAGAGCTGGTGGATGACAGGCCGGACTGCCCTCCAGAGGTGCGGGGTGTGATGCGCAGGCAGCTGGTGGGGCGTGTGATGGAGATGAAAACACTGAGGGGGCATTTCGTCCACGAGCTGCAGAGGAGAGAAGACCGCATCAGGGAGGAGCTTCTGACTGACATGGCCTCTGCACTGGCTCTAAAACTAGGACACATGTAAATAAGAGAGGGAGAGCTGCTGTTGGTCTGTGTGAAAGAGTTGTTGGGGCAGTGAAAAAATAAGGAGGCAAGATTCATTCAAGTGTTAAACATGCAATTTTGAGTTTAAGTGCAAGGGTGATTCTTTGCCTGAGGTATTTTTGTCACTCTGCTGGTTTACCACTGTCCAAATGAATTTACTACCACTGGCCGCCTTTTGGTTTTCAACATACCACAGATGCTTTTGGTTAGATATCACGCTCACACACACTTAATTTTCCCATTGTGATGTGTTGTACTTCTTTGCCGTCTGTTTATTCCTTTGCATAGGCCTGTGCCTCGTGTTTTCTTACTTTGCTCCAGTGCTTAGCCCTCCCTTATCATTCATAATTTATAAGCTATATCAAATAAACTAAAGTCATATTGGGACTAGAGTTCAGCAGTGTTGTCCATGTATTCTGTGCTTTCTCCAGAAGCCTCTGAAACACCATTTAGACCAAAAACTGTTACTTAATATGAACAAGCTCACATTTAATTGCAGGTTTTTACTGACTGTATTCATGTAGCTGTGACATCTGGCAACAGATGAAAGTAACAAGTGTATTTATGGTATAATAATATCAGTAAAATTGTGACATATTAACATCATCTCAAGTATATGTTGTCAATGTAGTGCAGTGTAACTTTTATTTTCAGAGGTGAGGTTTTTCCACATTTTTTGCAGTCTTAATGACCTGAAACACAACTGACACTGATAAAGCAGAGTGACCCTGTGGTTAAAGAGACCATTCAACATCAGTACATACCTCCAACAGACCATTCAGGTTCCTCGTGGGCATGATGATGGAAACACTTAGCATAAGAAAAAATAACAACCACTGGTCTACTGGTATTTTTCCAAGCCTGACTTCTGACCTAAGAAAAAGAGAAAATAGTTGAAACAGTAGTAGAAAAAGTCGATCATTACCAATACACACTAGCATCTGTTAGCACATTATATTTTACTGTATAAGGGTTTAGACATCTTAAGCAGCATGATCTGCTGTGCTTTGAAGTCAACTAAATGTACACAAGAGTGGTTCAAAATCTAATATTTACCTTATTAGCTCCATAATCGTCCAGTGTCAGTATTGGGTAATATGTTAGTAAACTAATTCTGAAGAACTGATTGGAAAACAGGATATGACTGGGAAATGCATGTTTGGATCTGTTAAGCTGAAAAACACTGTCTCATTACCTTTCTCTCCAGCAGTCTTACAATTGAAGACTGCTATCAAAAAGCCTTTGGCAGTGCAGGAAGGCCACAACAAAGATAATCTCTTTCAAATGTATCTGTATGATCCACATTATTGTGGACATATACTGGGATTACACTGGCCAAAGTCTGTTACACTTTATTAAACATGAAGAAATATTTTTTCATGTCAACGCTGAATCAAATGATTTATCTAATTTTAAATGATTATTCATAGTGTCAAACCCACTGAGAATTAACACCAAACTCTGGAGCTATTTGCAGGTTTTCAGCCACTTTTAGTTCTTTGATTTTGTTTTTCTGCCTGCAAAACATTTGCAGACCAAAGTGGAGCTGAATAGAGTGAATACAAGTGAAGAATATTCATCAAATGGCCTGAAACTCCACACATAATGTTCATAATGTGTTCTTGTGTCTGCTGAATGTGTATTGTTTGCTAACATTTTGGTCATAACAACACTTTTTAAGCTGAGGGCTGTGTTTTTTTTGCCCCCTACTGGTCAAAAATGACTAAAGGAAGCTTTAAAGTCACAAACCTGGCTGATTTGGTAACACATGGGGTTACTAATAACTGTGTGTAATTGAAAAAGTGTGTCAGTTTGAGCTCACCAAACTCAGCAGAAGATAAACAACTCCTGTATGCGTTTATAGCATAGCCAAACAAACCAGGGGCTGATGTGATTCATTGTGTCACACTGTTTCAATAAAGGAGAGACCATCAACAATGTCATTGTTATGTTAAGCTCTTGTGTCCACATCATGTCCATACATGATTCACTGTTTCCTGTGAATCCCTTGTGCATAGTATTCAATTCTTGAAAGCTATAAATCTTAAAGATGTGATTCATAAATATTGGCACATTTTGACATCTGGTCAGATAATTTTGTTGTAAATACAAAATTGAAATATTCTGACTTTGTGATATATTACTTTTTGTTGTGGCCGGTGGTTTAGTAAACAGTTGCATATTTACACATCGAGCAGACGCAAAATAAATAGATTCTCTGGCTGTCTGAGTCCAATATCCACTCTCCTTTAAGCTCTGTTTTAGTCCCCACCAACTGAAAAATATCTCTTTAGCTGCTAAATGTTTATCAGCTAGTTGCTAACTTTGTCTGCTAAGCAAGTAAGCTACATTCAGAGTAAATCACAAGATTAAAGTTGCGGGCATAAAACCAAAACAATTGGGTGATAATTATCTGTGGGTTTGTCACTACAAGCGACTCCTTGGTCATGTGATCCATTGAGGTTTAAACCCACTGTGACTTCTATTATTGTTTTGTGGACTACAGTTATGAAGCTTCAGGATTGGCATTATGCCTGTTGCCATCTTGGTTTTTTGGAGCCAGAAGTAACCATATTTGGACAAGAGTGTGGAGCTGCCTCTATCCTGACTGGATCTGACTGAGAACCTGAGGACACGTCTTGGTAATGGCTTATCAATCACAATGTCGTCACACCCTAAATCACACCCTGCTTTATCGTCTATTTTACTCTAAATGGGACCATAATGTACCAAATGCTGCATGGAAGCCGACTCGAAACTAGCAACTAACCATAAACTTATTCGCAAACTGTTTACTGAGGTAATAAATCAAGTGAGAAGTACAGTCATTTTCTCATGAGCTTACATACAATTGGACTTCTTATTGCAACCTGTAGGGTTGCCTCCTGCTGGACATTAGAAAGAAGGCACCCCAAAAGACCCCAAAGCTCCATCCACTATTTATTATACAGTCTATGGATCCATTGTTGACATTAAAATATAGTGGTTATAGCCTCTTCAAGTATTCAGCAGTCAATAAAGCAAGCAAAAGTTTTAGCCAGCCTAAAAGTCATAAAACTTTTTTTTACATTACTTCAACATCACTGCTGCAAACGGGGTGCAAAGCAGCACTGTGATATTGATTCATTTATGTCTTTTAAACATGCCCACTGTGAATAAAGTGGAAAATCCAGGGTTTCGCAGTCTCAGGGGAGGGACTGCTCAACTGTCTACTGACGCAGGCGGTGACAGCAATATGGAGCCAGGGGGACGCTACTGCGCATGTCCGCTTCTGCACGGACGGAGAGAGAGACAGACCATAGACAGAGAGAGGGAGAGAGAG